TGCAACGTTTAACATTTAGCATAGTTCATAAAATTGCCAACCGAATGAAAAATTTTAAATGAAACATTAAAGCTGATTAAACGCAATTTTATTGTTACACTTAACCTCAAGAAGTCGAAAGAATAGATTAAATTAAAAAATATGTTTGTACTTGTCAAAGAAAAATCCTTTTGTTAATTGGCGAGACATTCAACTTGACGAATGTTATGTATAAACTTGAATATAATTCCTTTATTCGTCACAAAGATGAAATTTTACATTTTATAAGGAGTAATACTTTCAGTGGCACTTTAGCTACTAGATGCTGATATGAAGATTTTTCTCTTTGCTGAGTTTCACCTAAAAGCTCCACGTATAAGAGACGGCTTTCAACTGGTAGGCGTGTCTAAGGCAGAATCCGCTAGAAAAGCCTTATTGAAAAGTCCTAGTCTATAGTGAATCTAGAACGGAACGTCACAATACTGTTGCTCTGCCTACCAAGCATATTACTTTCGATATAAAGATATTTAATCTAAAGATATTTAGAAATGGTACAACCTTTGGAACTCGAGAATAAATTAAATTAATATTTTTTTGAAGAAAGCAGAGTATATTTGTTACTGCATTAAAACAAACGTAACAAAATATTCCTAAAGAAAGATTGAAAGCTAAACCTTTTCCGACATAAAAAGGATTCACCTCCGCAAAGAAACTTTCGCGATAAAATTAGTTTCATTCATACAGATACACTAAATTGGGTGATGCCACCTAAAAACGCGACATAATCTTATTGCTTGGGCACGTGCTGCTGGCGGCCTGCACGACCGTTGCCGCATGGACGCTTTTTGGCCGAACTCTGTGATGGTTAAAAAAAGTATAACCGATCAGCACGAGCGGCAATATTGCGACTCGTCCAAGTCTGGCAAACGTAGGTCCAAAAGCAATTTTTCTCGTATTTATGAAACTACCTAAATAGAGAAATGTTAGCTTCGTGCATGTTTTTCGTGTGCCTCCCTTAATCCAAATACGCGATTACTTTTGTCAGAGCTGAAATTTACAAAAACATCATTACGAATAGCTGAATTGGTTACTGGGTTAATTTCAAGTACTTTTCAGGCTCCATTTTCCAGCTTCGACTGTATTTCCCTCGCGAAATAAACCCTTCGCGGTCGTATTAAATTTAGACATGGGTATCGTACTCCTCGGAATTAATTTCCGTAGAACGAGCAGTGATACATAATATGCAAGACTATGAAAGATAAACAAGATTTATTAATTCTTTTGTGAACTTTAGATATATGTTTACAGAATAATGTGTTTTAATGTGATGTTTTTATGTAAAAATTATATTTTATAGTTCTCCATCATGTGGTATCTTTCAGGAACGTTCTTCTTTCTCATCTGTTACAGAAAAAATAATAATATTCAATATTTTTGTCTTTGTAAAATTTAACATGTGGATATGTCGACCACTGGTTCATATCTCCTTGTACAACTTATAATTACTAACGTTCTTATCACATATTTTAGATCACTTTCTATTAATCTATTATTACACTAATATCTTAGAATCTATTACTATCGTCTAACGGCTTGAATCTTTTCAGTCTGCGGAATACAATATAAGATTAGTATGGTTTTTTGTTGTGGTGGCTGAGAGCAGACATACGACCGGAACAGTAAAAAAGCTTTGGTGATTGAGAGTAAACATACGACCGCAAAGGTTTAAAAGATGTCAGCTACTTAAGAACATAAGCCTACACTTAGAAAGTCCACATCTCCCTCAAAATGGCGTAGGTCGTCATTACTTGCGCGGGAAATCGTATCGCTGATACAAAATCCGCACAGTAGTGCAAGGCATATAACACTGAAAGGTCCTGTAGTCCGTAGTGTTAGTAGCACGCAGTGTCGCGATAATGTCAAGCCTCGGTGACATAAAAGGTTCAGAGTGAAGAGGAGTAGGAGGATAGAGGAGCGTAAATAGAATATGAGAGAGAGAGGCAGAGTGGAGAGAGAAAGAGAGAGAGAGAGAGAGAGAGAGAGAGAGAGAGAGAGAGAGAGAGATGCAAGAAGGAAGAGAGCACGGGTGGCGAAAGAGTGAGTCGAGGGTGGTTCGTTGGAAGGGTCGAATGGGTGGATGGGCGCTAGAGCGTAACCTGATATAACTGCCAGCAAGCTGCCGTAGACCGGTATCGTATCCACCTACCCCTTCCCTCTCCCCTGTTACTCCCACCCACTGCTATTTCCCTTCAGCCCTCCAGCCCTTCGTCGTACTCCATACGCTTCCTAGAGATGCACGGTTAGCCAGGAATATTCCCTACGTAAATGCAGCCTCGATGTTTTCTCGGGCGTCGAGGCCACTCGACGGCTCTTTTCTTCTCGCTTTCGTTTTCGACATCTATTTACAGGCTGTTCAATAAGAGCGTGTGCGTGATGTTTCTGAAACGAAATTAATGCTGTTTCTCGTGAAAACGTTTGTACAGATCATAAGTGTGTTCAACACGTTTCGTGCCACGTGAACCATTTATGGTACGCGTTAAGCTTTACCTTCGGATCACGTGTGCCATAAATGGTAAACATATTTATTTAAAGCGCTGGAAATGTATATTTTACGAGAGACTTAGTTCTGTCAAATATATTTCCACGAAAAGAATGAGGTATTATTAAAAATACAGTATAGGATAAAACAAAACAATAACGTGTAATAATATATCAATGTTTAGTTAAAACATCAAATGGCCTGAACGACAAGTTGGCAAAAACGGATTGACGTGGAACATCTTAACACCTTTTAAAGTTACAGTTCTAGAAATTATTTTGCGAATAAAAAAATTCCGACTTTCCAAACCCAGAAGTCCTCAAATATCAAACTTGGAGGATATTGAATACAATTTTAATGTCAGAAAATATGTAATATAAAATTATGTAAATTTTGTTATTTCGGCCGACGGCGGTCGCTGTTTATTTTAAAGGCTCTGCCGCCTTTGTCCCGCTATCCTACATAAATATGTAGATGTAGCTACGAACATAGCAGTACGCTGCACTCATCTCGAGAGAGACAGTATTTCTCAGCGACACAGTCGGAACTAAACATCTTTAAGCAAACGCGTATAGTAGGAGCCTGCTAGTGTTTACATTTTCAAAATCTCACCTCCGCTGGGTATCAAATGTTAGAGATACCGCGTCTACGCTCTTATTGAACAGATTGTATTTTCTGCCTCGGTTACTTCTCTCTGTTTTCTTCTTCCCCCTTTTTTCTGTTCCCTTACAAATCGCGCCGGCGCCTTTTTATTCGCTGATCTAGAATACGGCAGCTGTTACACCGGCGCGGGCGGCGCGGCGTTGCCTGATAGGGTAGCTGTTCGATATTCCTCGAGACAATTGCGGATCCTCGGCCCTAAGCCAACTGTACGCGCGAGCTAAACGCGCGGATAGAATTGAATATCGTTTCGTAGCTACGACCAATCTGGCCGCGCAATGTCGCGTTTCTTTTTCACCATCTCGAATTTCGTACACTGCGTACTATGAGATGGAATTGGAGACAACGCGTGGGTATGTTATTTATTATAGGTCAACAAGTTGAATAAAATCCTTGGATCCTTTAAGAAAACGTGCGATTTATTATACAGTAGCTGCGTCCCGGGGTTTCACTCGTGTGGAATACTATTCTTATTCTATGTCGAAAAATTAATTTTGTTTAATGTTGAAAACTTCTTATATGACAATAAGTAATAAAATAACATTAATAAGTAATAAAGGATAAGGAATGCAATTATTTTTTCAGAAATTTATCAAGTGTAACTTGGCGAACGCAGAAATGGGGTATTCTTCCGCAGATCCCTCCAATAAATGTGGTAGCCGTCTGGCCCAGCGAGATTAAATTTCCTTTCATCGGTAAAGACCGCCTGCAAATTAAAAATTAATAGTTTTTGCTACCTTTACCGAGAAAACATTTTTAATCGTTGAATTTTTAACCGAGTAGCTCCTTATCCTCGTTCGTGATTACTCGAGTAAATTTTAAAAATGTTGTGATCCCTTACAAGACACGGAGGGATGAGAAGTAATATATTATAATTTTTCAACGTTTCTCAGTTCAGTATACACATTTTGTGAATTAAACGTTCCGAATGCAAGCATTTTATACTTTCGCGCGTGTGTACATAATATGTGTTAACATACTACTAATATACAGGGTGTCCCAAAAATGTTGTAACACCTTGAAAGGAGTGGTTCGGGAGGTGATTTGAAACAATGTTGTCCTTAGCGAAAATGTTGTCCGAGGCTTCGTTAAAGAGATATTAACCAACCCCAGAAAACCCCGAACAATGAGAGCACGACCATGCCGGTAGAGCGCCCGCAATAGTATAGGCTACGCACTAGTCGGCCGCAGTAGTATAGGCTACGCACTAGTCGGCCGCAGTAGTATAGGCTACGCACTAGGCGGCTGCGCTTTTACGCGAACAAGTGACTCGACATGCATCGAAGGACATTGACTTTAATTTTTGCAACTTCTTATTCAACTTTAAAGAAGAAACAAAGGATAATTCCGTAAACTTTGAAAACAGAACAAATAATACTCGTTAGAAGAGGAATGAATGAATTAGAGGATGAATTGCATATCCCGGCAAAGAATCCATTTATTTATTAAGAGGGGAGCCCGCTCCAGGACGCTGAAAATAAGGCACTTTTTATGAATTTTTTAAAAACAATGTATTAAACTGATCTCCACGAAACTTACAAGATCTTTTACTGAATATTTAGTGATAACCAATAATTGTTTTCGATACATAATTATACGTAGAAGCTAAAAAAACGTAAAGTTTCTTATTGCCACGAAAATAAGTGTTAATAATTTATCTAGTATGAATTAATAAAGGATTAACTTTAACACTAATAGAATTTGTTTCCCTTCATGCGCTTTGTAGACTAGGAAAGTTACTGTCTGCGAAACGTCTCATGATGTTTAGTATTCATAATGGTTTTCGGTTCAAATTTCATTTTTCAAGTTCTGTTATTGCCAGATGGAACAATTTCCCAACTTTCACCAAGAGGTTACGGTGCCGCTCTTAACGCATGGATCTGGAATCCGCCTCCAACAGCAGAGCGAAAAAGAGGAAAGGAACAAACCATTCGAGACGCCCGGTTGCTGAATTGGAATTTATTATGCGACCTCTGTTTTCCTCTCGTGTAGACTCGTGTAATTTGATAATATTACGCACAGGAACAGGAGGCAGGGGTCGGATGAATAGTAAAGTAGAAGGATCGTACGTACCCATTACCACAATTCACCGCCATTAGTTATGAAATATTCTTGCTCACGATACCGATGCTTCAGGAATTCATTGTCGACTCGACGAAGACAAATACGGCGAAATAGAATTATCCATCTCTTCCGAAGGAAATTGCTACGGAGTTTATTAGAGTTAATAAAGAATACACGTAGTTGGCGATTGTGCTCGCAAATTCTCGAGATTCGTTAATAAATTTCTACAGTGGATCGTCGATCATTGGAGAAAATCTTAACTGAAAATTCCAAAAATAATCGAGATTCTTAGGATAATCAAGGTAGCCAATCCAAAGAGTGGAGTGGACGGCTTAGCGTCCAACGTAGAGGTTGTATGTAGCGAGCATTCATATAAATTAACTAGAAATTATTTCATACTTTTTAGTGCAGTTTTTCTATTTCGTATAAGCAGAATAGTCATCACAGTAACAACCATGAATACACATTTTTCGAAGGAGATCATAGAAGATCACTTGTCTAACGTTTAATTTCGATTATTTCCACTTAAAATAAGTTATGTACATTCTTAAAATACGACTAAAGATATGTACAATATCTCATCAAAAAATTCCTCGCGGCTGTATACAACAATAATACGCCTGAAAATTGACACTCGGAACTATGTGGAATATCCCTTAATTAGTTCCTCTCGTTCAATGCTCGTTATGAACCGTTCCTATCGATGGGGTCCCTTTGAAACGACATCAGTACCTTGGAAGTTCTCCCGTTACGGTTTTCGTCCTCTCGTTTACGGGAACTTGAGAACTCCATTATCCTCGCGCTTCGCTGCAGGCATTCCCGAAAACCAAGCTACACCATTGACCGAGATCTTGCTGGAAACTGCCTTCCCCACCTCATTCTCCAGTAGAATGCTCTGGTTAAATGGCCTTGAACTCGATTAGATCCCGGAATGCAGGTATTAGAATCTCTTTTTGCACGTCCACTTTCCGCATTCCCCGCCAGTTATATCTGGGTGTACCGCATAATGCGCGCTACAGTTCAACTTTGTAACCGGTAATTAGATCGCGTTGGTACTTTTCATTTAACCGTAATCTTGGTCACAATTGTTGCTTATTACGTTCCCCGGAATGTGACCTTTAATGGAGTTTCTGGCTGAAAGAATTAGACCAGCGTTTCTCAACATTTTTTTACCAAACATCCGCTGTGATAAGATACACAGCTTTGTTATTGAGCTCATTTGGTGACATTTATTTTCTTTGGCTTTTACATATAAACAAATTTCAATGATTAAAATGAATATTTGTAACAGAGTTGAGACGGTTGTGACATTGCCAAAGCTGCCAACGTCAAACCTGACCTAACCACACAAATAACAAGACCCAATCAGAAATAAGTTGAATTGTGTTACGTTTCCATGCCGTGTTGCCAGTTTGAGAACATTTTGATACCTTCGCGTTTGGACGGCAGTCTGTGGATGACGTACTTATCCAACTCTGGCACATAATGTGTTAAATAATAAAATCACGCGCAACATTAACTCCCGGACGCGGTCGTTTCAAGCGCAGTTTGGCGGTTCGTTAATCGCGTCGGGTAACGCGAAGTTACATAGCGGCTGGAAAATTTATAACGCGACGGATCCGACGCTTTAACGCCGATCCGACGCACACGGCAACTTCGTCGAGGCGACGAACAGAGAAAGTTGCGACGCTGTCAACTACAGAGCCGCGGGAAATTCGTCACCGTTGTCGTGCGTAATACTAAACCGACAGATATACTGCGTAAGTCACGAAAACGGATTTACATACGGTGTTGCTGTTTTCAACTTCATCAATTGGAATAGCATGGAATAAAGGTCCATGTAGAGCAAGAGACAGGGGTTAAATGGAGCTTCTCAGTTTTTGGTCTTGGGAATCCCAACCTTTAGTGTTTTTGTTACTATAGTACTGCGCAAAACTTTTAGACCACCATGTAAAACTTTTTTTCTGTTACGTGAGACCATGTCAAGCTGGTGTTACACTTAAATACATTTATGTTAATGAACGAAATATGATGTATATTGTGATACATCTGAATATCTCCGTTATTTGTGGTTCTATGAAAAGAATATATCTAACAAAGTTACACTGTTTGAAGAAGCACATGTAATAGTGGGATCACTTTTTTCTCAAGGTTATTTTTTAAAGAAATTTCAAACCAATTGAGGTTTTCTTAATAGGAGCATCCCAGTGGACCATACAGGATTAAACGTTCTTCAAGCACTGTAACTTTTCCTGCCTGGCAAAGATGACGTCGATTGGTTGATTTTCCTATCGTGTTGGCCGACGAAACCCGTGAAAATACGATTTCGTCGAACGAGGCGTGCCGCCCTGTCACCCCACCGTCGAGCAGTCCACGGGCGACGATAAAACGACGAGATGAGCGAGCGCGGACAATTTCGGTTTCGCCTGACGAGAGTGGCAAACGAGGCTGGTAACAGCATCGGTGCCAGCAGCGAGCGTAGAGCCGATCTACGTAGGGTCTGGCGGCAGCTGCAGCGACGCCCGTGACTGCAGTTGCATCGAGGTCGAACGTGGAGAGGAAAGAGAGCGCTGGCAGGCCGCAGAGGCCGGAGGGGAACGGTTCTTGCATCCGGCGCGGCGGGGTGCTGACGTTGGAGCACCGTGCACGTATTGCAAAATAGAGGCAGAGAACGGCTGATGCAGGCAAGGGTGCGCCCCGATGGAAAAGAGGTAGCTAGGACGATACGCCAGCCGCGCAGCCTGCCACGTGGACCGGACGTTTTAGAGAGCCTCGTTTCAGATTCGTTTACCTTTTTTCTTTCCTTTTCCGGGCTCTTGCACCCCCCCGGCGAAAATGGCTGACTACTTCAAATTATTCTCCGAAGCTTGAGTACACTTTTTTAATAAATCGCTCGAAACAAATTGTATCGCTCGGAGCTTCAGCCAGAAATCGTCACAGTTGCCTAACCTAAATGGAAATCTGGTAGTAATTAAGAACTGGGATTTACATATATATGTAGATAGCTGAACGTTTATTAAACAGCAAGAGATCGTTTCAATGATATTGCTCCTTCGATCTTCAATGATGGTCGACTTACGACGAGTTAATTAATTTCAGGGCGGAGTAACTTAAACATTTTAATCGTCTATGGCATTGTTTCTCAACGTCGATTAATTTTGGGACATGTCATTAATTTAGGCATTGTGTTTCAACGTGGACGACAGACATTTTAAAGTGGAAGATCGCAGAAAATGGTTAATTGTCATTCTGATAATCGCCTACAGCGTCTGTTCTTCGCTTAACATACAAAGTGGCGCCGTGTATCGCAAGTTCAACGTCTTCCACTGAAATGTTTGCAGAATGGAAGTTTAAATTCTTGATAAAGCAGCGGAACGACGCAATAAGAAACTCCACTGGGTAGAAAAAAAAAGTTGCCGCCACTTTTCCGTATTTCTTGCATAATTCACGATTTTAGAGTCTCTCGGATGGCGGGAGGGCGGGTGGGGATAGAGGAGGTGTTAATTAAGCCCGCAATCTGTTACCTCGTTATCCGTTTCGAAGCAAAACACAGCTGACGCCGCGACACCCGCTCAACTTTCTGTCTGACATTAAATACATCGTATTTCCCGGACTCGATGCCGCACGGAGAGAGAGGAGAGGGGGAGCACTCGTCGAAATGAATTTAAAACGAAACAAGCCTCGAACGAACCGCATCGGGCGCGGCGCTTTCGACGGATCTCCTTTCGTTAATTAACGCCGCGCTTCGATATTCGACATTCTTCGCGGAAAGTTTCTCCCAATGTGCCTGGCTCTGTCCCGTTAATTCTCGTGGAAAAGTGGCATTCGAAACTTCCCGCGGGATTAAATACAGAAACCCTCGTTGGAAACCCGTTCCCGCGAACGACCGTTTTATTCGCGGCCGAAACACTTGAATACGTCCGGGTGAAAAAACTTTTAAGGCCGTAGCCTGGTAGTTTTAGTTAAAAAAAAATCGATTCTCTACTTTCTTCTTACAGCCGAAGGAAAATGATTAAAATGCATCGAATTTAACCTTTTGCGGTCGTATGTCTATTCTGAGCCACCACTAACAACCACCCAAAGAAACGAACCATCGGATATTGTATTCGTTCATATATCACTCTACACTTTCTCTATATTTTTAATGTTAAAAAATGTTAAAACTTTCATTCTAATATTTAATATTTGTCCTCCGCATGCGCTTTCCTCCCGTAAAGTGTTTAGTTTTAAGTGAAAAATATCACTTGTGTCTAGTGCGTGTCTTTTCGACACGCTCTGACACGAAACGATGGGATCGGGCGACGTAGCGAGCGCAATAATTAATTAACTTTCGTCGCCTAACGGTGCGAAAGTTGGAACACGAACGAGCGCCAGGTACAATGGAAGGCAGACGCGCGGAGAACTTGCATCGGAAAGTTTGATTCGGAGCGTAGGAAATTATTAGTCGCGCGAACGATGCGACGCCTCGCGAATTCGAGTGGTGTAGCTTTCTGTCGAGATGCGTGGCAATCGCATAATTGCTGCGAAGCTTCATCAAGACTGAGAGAGGTTGGTAGTTCGAGGTGGATCGCAGGAGCGTATAGTGCTCTTCGGATAACAGAATACAATTGAATCCTCGGAACTGGGACCAGAGTTGAGTCCATCTTTTACCTGATGAAGGTTCTGTTTCAGTCCTCCGCGCAGGAAGGACGACCAAGAGCTTCCCGTTTCTTGATTTTTTAATTTATTTACGAATAAAGCTGAAAGTTGGACAGTACAAAGTATAAGTGAAGAAAACTAACGAAAAACGATTATAAAATGGGAAATTTTCCTCTATTATTTAAAAAGGGAACAGTATTATTTTTTTCTCGGCGTTACTTGAAAAATATATATAATAGTTTGAATTAAACTCACACGTTGAATGTTTCGTTTATTCAACGATTACATTAAATGTCATCACTTAAGTATTTTATACTCGGAGATATCATCCCTGTTTGCCACGTGCAATGAAGAATCATTAACGAGTCCCCATCGAGACGGATTCAAGAATTTATCGAAGACCGATAATCGTGATAGAAATATGAAAAGACCCGCAAACGTTATATGCGTGTACGCACATCTCCCCCATCGACTAACCCACGAAGCTCAAAAATCGCAGCGTCAGTGGTTCCATGAGTGGTTGATAAAGCGTCGAAGGGGTTGGCGATAGAACAAGAGGGATGACCACGGCAATAACGTGCGCCATATAATGGAAACCCAATAGGGGAGGGCGAGCATACTATATCATTTATCTTTATCTATTGCGTAGGTATCTA